TTCTTTATGTAGCAAACTGTTCTGGCTATCCTGGAACTCAGAGATCCTCCTGCCTCTTGCCTCCTGAGTGCTGGGATTAAAGGTGTGTGCCATTACCACCCAGCAACAATTTAAAATTTTACTACATTTCTATCTATCTGTCTGTCTTGTCTGTCATCTATCCATCCATCCATTCTGTAAATCCTGGTCTCTGACCTCCATCTTTGGAGACCCCACCCCTGTGCCCCTTTAACCTTGAATCCTCTCCCAGGGGGGTCAAGGTGTCCCACCAAACCTTGACCCCTCGCCAGAAAAGGTTAAGACCGCTCCCCCAGGCTATTTAAACTCCTCTCTCTCTCTCTCTCTCTCTCTCTCTCTCTCTCTCTCTCTCTCTCTCTCTCTCTCTCCCCCTCTCAAACAAGTGTCATGCCCCTCCCCACCATGGTCACTTTTGCAGCCTTCTGCTTCCCCTCGGGGCCACCCGAGAGTACAGGAGTCCAGTTAAACCTGGATATCTTTTAATTTGGTCTGATTAGATTTGATTGGGATTATTTTGCATCAGCAGAGAGCTCGTGTTAGAAAATATTCCTAACACATCCATCCATCTGTGTATGTGCATGTGGAGGTTAGAGGGTAACTCAAGGTCCTGGGGATTGAATTTAGGTCTCCAGACTTGCCTTTAATTGTTGAGCCATCTCATCGGCCCTGGTTGAATTTCTGAATGATAAGTAAATTCTTATTCCTGAATAGATGAAATTTATCATAATGTATTATTCTTTCCATAAAGAACTGAATTTAGAATATTTTAGATAGTTGCATTTATGGTAATGAGAAACACTGGTCTTTTTTAATATTTATTTATTTATTTATTTATTTATTTGTTTATTTATTTATTTATTATTTATGCAGTATTCTGTCCGCTCATATGACTGCAGGCCAGAAGAGGGCACCAGACCTCATTATAGATGGTTGTGAGCCACCATGTGTTTGCTGGGAATTGAACTCAGGACCTTTGGAAGAGCAGGCAGTGGTCTTAACCGCTGAGCCATCTCTCCAGCCCCAACACTGGTCTTTTTTAAATTTCTTTTCTCTTTCTTTCTTTCTTTGCTTTTTGTTTTTTGTTTTTCTGGAGACAGGGTTTCATTTTAGCTATTGAGCCTGTCCTGGAACTAACTTTTGTAGACCAGGTTGGCCTCGAACTCAAAGAGATCCGCCTGCCTCTGCCTCCTGAGTGCTGGGATTTAAATGTGAGACACTCAGCTCTTCCCTTTTTTTTAAAAAAAATTCATTCTTCTCTCATATATTACATCCTGACCACAGTTTCCCCTTCTTCCTCTCCTCCCTATCTGTAGTAGGAGCTGCGGGCTGTGTTCCTGCAGCCCCAGCTTATGCCCCGAAATAACAACACACAAACTGTATTCTTTTAAACACTGCTTGGCCCATTAGCTCTAGCCCTTACTGGCTAATTCTGATATCCCGATCAACCCATCTCTAATAAACTGTGTAGCACCGGTCTTACTGGGAAAGATTCAGTATGTCTGACCTGGAGGCTTGCTTCATCTCGTGTGTCTGCCCGGGAGCAGCGGCAGCGGCATCTGTCCGAGGCGTCTTACCTCACTTCCTCTTCCTCCCAGCATTCTGTTCTGTTTTCTCCACCCACCTATGTTCTAACCTATGAGGCCAAGCAGTTTGTTTATTACTTTAACCAATGAAATCAACAGATTGATATATGATACTCCCACATCACCTATCTTTCCCTACCACATCCAGTCTCCCTCAGATCCACTCCTTTCTCTTCAGAAAAGGGCAGGTCCTCCATGTTTATCAACCAAACATGGCCTGCCAAGTTGTAATAAAACCAGGCACATGCCCCCATATTAAGACTGGATCAGGTAACCCAGTAGAAAGGAAACAGGTCCCAAGTGCAAGCAAGAGCCAGAGATAGCCCCCACTCCCACTAAAAAATGTGGACGGCTTCACGAATCTGCGTGCCATCCTTGCACAAGGGCCATGCCAATCTTCTCTGTGTCGCTCCAGTTTTACTATATATGTGCTGCCCTAGGGAGCAGGTATCTTTTTTTCTTACGGTGTTCTGTGCTGGCTACTTTTATGTCAGTTTGAAACCAAAAAAGTCATCTGTGAGATGGGAGCCTCAACTGAAAGAATTCCTTCACAAGATGAGGCAGCTGGCAAGCCTCTAGGGTGTTTTCTTAGTCCCTGATTGATGTGGGAGGGCCCAGTTCATTGTGAATGGGGCCACCCCTGAGCAGGTGGTCCTGGGTTCTATAAGAAAGTAGGTGATGGTGCATACCTTTAATTCCAGCACTCAGGAAGCAGAGGCAGGCGATCTGTGAGTTTGAGGCCAGCCTGGTCTACAAGTGAGTTCCAGGACAGCCAGGGCTGCACAGAAAAACCCTGTCAAAACAAAACAAAAAACCAGAAAGAGAGAGGGGATAGAGAGAAAGGCTGAGCAAGCTAGTAACACACACACACACACACACACACACACACACACACACACACACACCATGACCTCCATATTAGCTCCTGTCTCCAGGATCCTGCCCTGCTTGAGCTCCTCCCCCACTGCTTTGGTGATGAACTATCATACAGAACTGCAAATGAAATAAGCCCTTTCCTCCCCAAGTTGATAGAGGCTTGGCCAGTATTCACAGACTGTGCCCTCCGTTCAGTCCCCAGCACTGCTTAAAACTTGGCAGGGTAGCCCATGGGAGGTAGAGACAAAGGTATATTATATGTACACAGGAATACAGGTGCCACAGAGACCGGAAGATGGTATGAACCCCCTGGTTCATGGTTCCCGGAGGTTATGCTGCCTCTTATGGGTGCCAGGAATCAAACTTGGGTCCCCTGTAAGACTCTTCAATGTTGAGACATCTCTTAAGTCCCTATTTATGTTTTCACACGACATAGCCCAGGCTGGCCTTCAACTTACTACGTAACCCAGGCTCACCTCTGGCTTTGAACTTATGACCCTAAGTTATAGGTCTCTTTGAACAGTGACAAGCACAGTTCCACAAGGTCCAAGTGTCCGGCTGAACGAATGTACCCTGATTTGACGCGGCAGTTTCCTGTGAGAGACCACTAGCTTTCCACTGCGGTGCACACACGCTCCCAGGTTCTTTCTTTAGTATAGAATCCTAGAAGTACAAGGATGAGTCAAAGCATTTGCACACCTAAAGATTTTCCGAGGCATTGCCAAACTTCCTCTCAGACATATTCCACAACGGCACGCCTAGAGCCCGGTGTGCTTCTCTGCGCAGGGGCCAATGCCGGGTGTTCCCCTTCCTTTCTACTCCTGCCAATCTGATAGGTGAGAAAATGCTATTCTGCACTGCTTCCGTTTGCATTTCTCCCAAGTTGACAGGTGTGGTTGGCTGACAACAGCTCACTCACAAGATGACAGGTCCATAGCCTAAATCTGAAGCCTATGAATGAGGTAAAGAGGTCTTCAAGATTTGATTCAGCTATGAATCTTATATCCTGGCAGATAGATGATCCTGGGTTAGTGGAGTGGTCCCTAAAAGCTATTATGGGGCTCCGATGTTTCCACAGATAACAGAAATTAGCCATGTGTGGTCCAAAGTTAGGTTAGCATGCCAACGGCTCCAGAAGCTAGCAAGAGGCAAGGGACAGAGACTCATCGGAACTCTCAAGGGAATATAATTCTATCACTCTGTTCTTTCTTTTCTTTCTTCCCCTTCCTCTTCCCAACCCTTCCCTGGGGCTTGAACTCAGGACTTCACATGCTAGGCAAGCTCTCTACCATTAAGGTTGAGACTGGGTTCTCTGTGTAGCCCTGGCTGTCCTGGACCTCACTATGTAGACCATGCTGGCCTCAAACTCACAGAGACCCACCCACCTCCACCTCCTCTCCCAGGTTTGGGGGTTAAAGCGGCAGTCCACTATACCTAGTTTTGTTATGTTTAAAACATTTTAAAATATTCTCATACTGACTTCTAGACTGAGTCTAAAATGTACATTGTCACCAATAGTTTTCTACTGTAGACAACACCAAGCGCCATCACTCCCCTTTTTCCTAGCTGCCTGACGGAAGGTGTATGAGTCTAAGTAGTCTGTGGGGATTCAACACAGGACCTCATGAACGACACCTCCATGTTTCATACTTGCTTGTAAGTAAATGAATACATGAGGCATGGTCCACCTGTAGAAACTGACAGCTCAAAGGGTGTCTGTTCTCTACTTCCGCCGTTTCGGGGATGGACATGGAACTTAGGCCATGGGGCTTGAAGGCAAACGTCTTTACCTGCTGAGCCACCTCGTCGGCTCAGAAATATTCTCTCAAGGTGTCTTTACCTATGAAGCCGGTGGGGTAATTGCTTTATTGTGCTTGTTGGCTATCAAGGCAGCTTCATGCTCAGCTTTTGGAAGTTCTGGCTGGTAATTTCTTCTTGAAATGAATACAATCAAAATCCCTTTTGAAACCAAGACAGCGAGTATTGGATTTCACATTTCGTCTCCAGCTCTAGAGAAAGAGTGGTATTCAGGATATGATCAAAAACAGGAATGAGTTGGGACGCTACAGGAAAGACCACGGAAGGCCGCTCAGCTTGCTTCGAAGTGTTAGAAATTTCCCCAGGCTTTTGCTTTATGCAAAAAGGGTAGAGGGGCTGATGGAATCGCAGTGTTAGTGCGCGGCGGATCTGCGAGTCCCATGGTTTCCCGCAGGGGGCAGTGCGGTCTGCCAGTGAGGTGGGAGCGGAGTGGGAACCCGCGCGGAGTTCTGGGGGTTGTTTGCAAAGAAAGTTAGGAGATGCGTTGGAGTGCGAGGCAGACTCTCGGGCTTTGCGGGAGGGTGAGAGAAGGACCTCCCAGAGAACCCATGGGGTTCAGTGGAGGGGATCTGGATAAGTTTGAGGAGTAGGGCAGTTGCACGAGGAGGGGAGGTGCAGTCCCCCGGAAGGTGCAAGCGGGCAGGACGCGAGTGTGAATGCGAGTGTGCGTGCGCGCGCTGCAGTTCTCCCGGTTCCGCGAGGCGCGGGTGTCAGCTTGCAGCCGGGGCTCCTCCCTCCGGCCCCCCTGCCCCGCCGGGCGGTCCCTCCCTCCTTCCCCATCGCCCCTCCCCGGCGGGCCAGGCGCTGGGACGCCCCGGCCGAGCAGGCGACTGTGGTGGCGGCGGCTAGTTGGGGAACCCTAGGCTCTGTGCTGCGGGACGATCGGGAGCCGAGTGTCCCTTGTCCCGGCTGGGCGGTATTGGGCCTGCTTCCCACCGAACCACGCCCTGTCAAAACTTTGTCGCTGCAGCGGCCAAACGATCGGAGCCCGGCCAGCAAGCGGGAGGGAGGGGCGCCGGGCCGGGCCAGGCAGGGCGCGGGGCTCCGAGAGCAGCGGCCCCGGCCCGTGGCCCCACCATGCCCCAGCTCGGTGGTGGCCGCGGTGGCGGCGCCGGCGGGGGAGGCGGTGGCTCCGGAGCCGGGGCAACCAGCGGAGGGGACGATCTCGGAGCGAACGACGAGCTGATCCCCTTCCAGGACGAGGGGGGCGAAGAGCAAGAGCCGAGCAGCGACAGCGCTTCGGCGCAACGGGACCTGGATGAGGTCAAGTCGTCCCTGGTCAACGAGTCGGAGAATCAGAGCAGCAGCTCGGACTCGGAGGTAAAGGGATTCCTAGGGTCAGCCCCTCGGGGGACCCGGGTCCCGCTCCCGCTCACCCGAGGCCCTCGCCTTTGTGTCTCCTCCACAGGCGGAGAGGCGCCCGCAGCCTGCCCGGGACGCTTTCCAGAAGCCGCGCGACTATTTTGCCGAAGGTACGTGCCTTCTCCTGCAGTCTCCACTCTCTGGCCGGCAGCGATCGGCTCTACGGGTCCCCATGACTCGGGTGGCAGAGCCCCTGTTCTCCTCCCATCTCTGCAGCAGCCACTCTGGGGCTCACTCGCGGGGAACTCGGGTTCCAGATTCCCGCCTGGAGTTCCAGATCCCTGTGCTGTCTGGGGGACCCCTGAACTCACTCCAATTTGGTTTTTGTCCGCAGTGAGAAGGCCCCAGGACGGCGCTTTCTTTAAGGGACCTGCGTACCCTGGGTACCCCTTCCTGATGATTCCTGACCTGAGCAGCCCGTACCTCTCTAATGGGCCCCTGTCTCCTGGTGGAGCGCGCACCGTAAGTGTCAGACCAGCTGTGCCCGGACCGGTGGGCGCCGGGCTCGGCGGGATGCGCCCGCAGGCTCGGCCGTGGTGTGGGGGATGGGGCCTCCTGCGCCGATCCTGGGCAGAACTTGTTTGCGGAGTTAAACTCCCCTGTGGCGGCCTAGTATGAGACTGCAGTGGCCAGTGCCGGGATGAAAGTAAAGATCTTTTAACTTTTCGCCTTTGGGAGATCCTTCTTGCCTTTGGGAGATCGCGGCCTGGTGGGTTCTGCTCCCAACCTCCCAAATTCTTGTTTCTTCCAAAGGAAAACTTGGATTTGTGCCTACTTTTGCGGGTGGGGGTGGTGGTCTCGTTTTCCTTCCTGGAGACCAGTCAACTTTCCCCTTGGCAAGGAGGAGAGTTGGGCAAGAGCCTGGAGGAGCCTAGCTTGAGATGTCCACTGACCTCCGGGCTCTCAGGGCTGCTGTGAGCTGTACAAACTCCTTATTTTGTGTGGATTATTCACGACTCCTGTCCCAACCCCCAAACCTCACATCAGGGTCTCAATTTTTCTGCAGAACTCTGGGTTTTAAACTCCTCTGAGATGGTTTGGAGGGCGACCCAAGGCATTCTTACTTGGCTTTTTCCCCCTTTTGTTGCCGGCTTTTCTCATTTAAAGCGAGCGCTGCGCCACTTTAAACCTGTTAATGGGAGCGCATTGTGTGCTGTGTGCCTGGCATTTAGAACAGTGATTAAGCAAATTGACCCGGCCCCAGACGATGTGCAAATGAGGGCGGATTCCTTCACCCCTCTCTAACTCTGAACTCCCGCCCCTCTCCCCCGCAGCATGAGGGGTGCAGTTCGGGGTTGGCAAGGCCTTCGAGCCGCTACTCCACACCCAGGTTTCCTGTGCTGATGGTGGGTCGGATGGTAGATCTTGGGTGCCCACCTTCCTCCTCATCATTTCTGCCTCCTACATAGCTTCCCAGAGTCGATTAGTTCATTCTCCGTGCTAAGCTCTTGTAAAAGTTTATCTTAAGTATGATTATAATCATGGGCTGCCAGGGAAGACGTGGGTGCTGAATGGGTCTTTTCTGCTGTCATTTCAAGGTCCTTCCTTGGTAGAGCCGACGGCCTCCATAGTTGGTGCAGTGTGTGTGTGTGTGTGTGTGTGTGTGTGTGTGTGTGTTTCTCACTGGTTGGGGTTGGAGGAAGTTCTTTTGATGGATGAAGAAGGCCATGGAACCACACACACACACCTCTTGCCCTTGCTCTGGGATGGAGACCCCATAGCCTTGGGCCTGCTGCATTTCAAGGCAACCCAAGAAGTCCTTTTGAAAAGTGGATATTGACCTAGACTTTTGCTTTTGCTCTTTCAAGGTGAAGGTGCGTGCAGATGTTGGGGACTCCCCCATCAACTTTTCCGCCTGCGCCTTAAGGTGCAGGAAGTTCTCATAACTCTCTGTTTGTGAGTTAGGCCACTTTAGTTCCATATTTTTGTTTTCTCATCTGGAGCCACGAAAGCCCATGTGTCAGCTCTGACCCAGATCTTAGGAAAAGTCACTAGAAACATCCCAGGTAGGACTAATTCTCGCTCCTTCGGCCAGGTAGTTTCTCCGCACACCCATGTCTTTTTTTTTTTTTAACGTTTATTTATTTATTTTCCGTCTTTGTGTGTGCCTGCACATTGGTATTTTTGAAGCCCGGGGTACCTGTGCGGAGGTCAGACCACCTTAGGATTCTACAGTTGGATTCTCTCCTTCTGCCATATGCGTTCCCACGGCCAACTCAGATGGTCAGGCTTGGCCAGTGCCTTTACCCACAGAGCCATCTCTTAGCCCACTGGCAGGGTCCCATCTCACCCCCATGCCTGTGTCTTATCTCCCTGACGAGTTGGCCTAGCAGCAGAAGGTCAGCCCCCTCAATGTTTCTCTCATGAGCCACCCTGCTCAGTTGAGAAGGTCATTGACGGACTAGAAAAGTTCTTTTCTAGTCTTGCTCAATTCTTGAGCATCGTGGCCAGTGAATGAAGCAAGTTAGAACACATATAAACACTTGTTTGAACTCTATGGTTGAAATTATTATCTTCTTGATAATCATACCAATATAATTAATATGATTTCCAAGGGAGGCAAGTGGTTACTCAGACAAAACTAGACCTCTGCTGTTTTCCAGTGAAAGTAGATAGTTGAGGGTTACTGCGGGAGCTGGTAGATTGGAAGAAGATTCTTGGGATATATGATTCAGTCTTTGCTTTCTAGGTCTTGTTTCACCTCAAAATTATGCAACTGTTTTAAGGCTTTTGTTATTAAAGTGTGTGTGTGGGGGGGGATCCCATTTCCCTGCTGTTCTGATTTTATGGAAATAACCAAACCCAAAGTCAAAGTGGAGACTGGCTGCGGTGTTTTCCAGTTTGTGGCTCTTAGGTGTTGCAGACAGGAGCCTAAGCACCCTGACCTACTGGCATCTCTGTTGCCTGGAGCTAGCCAGTCTTGTCATCAGGCAGTCGTTCTCCATGGGTCATCTCCTCTGCTCTCCACTCTGACTTGGTTGGGATGCTGGGAAGCAGTCTCTTCCCGAGACTGTTTAGGGGAGAGGTCACCCTAACCTGGGTTTTGAGAGAGTCTCATTATAGAGTGCAGGCTGGCCTTGAACTTGGATCCTCCTGTGCTTGAGTGCGAAGTTGATAGATGTGTCACCATAAATGTCCTCTTTCTGGGGTACCTGAGACTTGTGGAGAAGGGAATGGCTGCCACATTCTGTTCTAGTCCTAGTACTTGAAAACATGGTGAGACGAGGTCTAGAACTGAATTATATTATATTATATTATATTATATTATATTATATTATATTATGTGATAACTGTCTAGTCTTGGCTGACCTAGAACTGCTATAGAACTGTTACAGACTAGGCTTGTCCTGAACGTGCAGTGGTCCTCTTGCTGACGTCACAGGCAGGCATAGGCCTCCATACCTGACTATACATACCTCCATTCTAGAGGGGAATTTGTGCAGGTTTACAAAATCATATAGTAGGTGACGCCAACTACAATTTTGCTAAGGAGATGTAAATTAAGTCAAGCATAATGGCACACGCCAGTAATCCTGGAACACTAAAGACTAGGATGGGAGGATCAGTCTAAGTGTGGGGACAGCCTGGGCTACCTAGCAAGAGCCTGTCCCCGCAGCAACAAAAACGAACAAAAACTGATGAACAGAATATAAAGGCTGTCTGAAAACAGTGGCTAAGGTAAAGGACTTGTTGGCTGTGCTTCTGCAGGCCAGCATTTTACCGGCATGTGCCTCCAGCATGGCGCTAGGGGAGGCGTTGAGCATGGAGTGTAAAGTTAGGAGTCACTCTGCATGAGCTTATGCTTCTGTCCGGCTGTCCTGGCTTTACGTCTCTCTCGTGTTTCCTGAGGATGCGCCGTCTGGCTGACACCGTTGGTGTGCCCTTTCTGTTCCACCAGACAAACAGAATCTCTAAATGCACGTAATAAGGTTGTTTGGGGAAAGTTTATGTAACAACCAAGGAAAACCTTTTCTCTCTTTAAGAACAATTCATACACTCTACTATATTTTATTATTTTTTGGGGGGACACATATACCATGTCAGGACAGTGTGGGAGTCAGTGCTTTCCTGCTTTGTGGGTGGTCTTGGGGATCAAACTCACGTCAGTAGGCTTGATGGCAGGCACCGTCACCCACTGAACCATATAGCCAGCCTACACCCCACCCCCCACCCCTTTTTTTGCTCTGTCTAAACATGCTGTTTTTGGTAAAAATTCTTTTAAGTCATTTCATCTAAATATAACTTCTGTTCCATTTTTGCTAAATATAACTCTTGAGTTTAATGAGGGCTTTTCACATAGAGTGAGCTTTTGGGAGTGCCCTGACTGACTGTGTTGCTGAAATTTTGGCACTTGGCTTGCTGGGGTGACATTCGGTTTCAAACTCTGAGGCGGGACTTGAGTCCTATCAGTCTTGTCTTTGGGTAGGTGGATCTGGCAGGGAATATCTGACTTGCATTGTGATAATCTTAGAAACCCATGGCTTAACCTTGTTCTCCATTGATCTCATTTCTAGGGCTTCTCAAGGAGAAAGTGGTCTAATTTGTACATGTACATACACAAATGTACACACCTAGTCACATACAAGTATGCACACTCACGTATGACTATGAACAGTATTTTGTCTTGAACAGTAAAATAGCAGAATTGCAGTGTTTTATTTGTTTGTTTGTGGTTGTTTTGCCTGCATGTGCACAGATGTGCATCATGCCTGTGAAGTGTCCTTGGATCTCCTAGAACTGGAGTTACAGATGGTTGTGAGGCACCATGTAGATGCTGGGAATGGAACTCAGGTCCTCTGTAAGAGCAGCCAGTGCTCCTAACCACTAAGCCATCTCTAGACACACACACTTGAAAGGTTAACCAACAGAATTGTGGGATGAATAATCAGCCCACTGGAAACCTTTTGTAACCAGAAGGCTGCACTCACCCTCCTAGTGGGAGGCGACTTGCATTTGCTACACTGGGGATACTCAAGATCGCATACTTTACAATCAATCTGTAACTCCTGACTTCCTCTGATGTGTTGAGAGCTTATCCTGGGTAGTGCTGAGGGACTGGGGGATAAGCTACCTTAGGACACAATAACACTGGCACTTCGCAAGGATACAAGGAAGTCTATGTTAAGAGGCAATTAAATCTGGAAGGGTGTTTTTTTAGAATAAGAAATTTGGAAAAATTGCTTTGAATTAGGAGGTTTCGAGGAAGGCCAGTGGTGGTGTCTTTAAACTAATCCTTGAAACTCACTCTTTGCTGCTGTTGGGGACAGGCTGGGGGGGCGGCGGGAGGGTGGAGTGGGGTGGAGGGGAGAGTAGTGACTTGGGACACTACCGTAGTAGTGCTGTAGCTGGTCAGGCACTAGCAATGTAGTTCAGGCTGTCCTCCAATTCATGCCAATCATCCTGCCTCAGCCTTCTAAGTGCTGGGGTTATGGGCTACCATGTGCTACTGTGACCAGCTTGTT